GCTATCTTTATAACAGGGTTCCAACCTTATGCGTAGCTCGTCCCGTCAAGCTACTACTGTATTTATAACAGGCTCGTCTCTGTGTAGTTTTACCTCTTTCAACTGCGTAGTTGAAGGGGATATAATAGATATTTCTTGCTGACACGAATTCCTATTTCGAGTACCCCCGTCGCTACTGCCAGTAGCTGTTTGCTGACATGCTTGATTCCGTAATGTCGCTATCATCATCATGAGAGAATTTGTTGGGTGCTGAGAATTGTACTGTGATCACGTTCCGCGTTACGCAGTATAGCAAGGTCGTCATGAGTTCCTGAGGGAGTGGTATGTCCCCTTTACAACGCTTCAGAATACCACTTAAGGTGGTGTAGAGCCAGCGCTTAGGATCATCAAGTTCTGCAAATTACTGATGGATTTTGTGGTTAATTTGGCGGGGGAGTTCGTTGAGGAGTGGTATGTGTAGTGTAATTAAGTAAATGCCTAGGGGAAGTACCTCCGATGAACCCCTGGATGGGCCTGATGTCACCGCTGCCTTTTCGAAGGCTATTGCTCATACGCTCGGTAGAGGATTTTGATCTGACTACTATTGTAGTGTCGAGGACGGTCCCGTCCTTAGCTGCATCGGATTCGGTCGATTCGCTTGGCTCGTTGGAGGATGAGATGAAGGCTGCTGAATTGCGGAGGCTTTCGTAAGAGGACTGCGTGAGTCAGGACCATTCCGTTCTGGTGACGGCAGGATCTCTTTGAATTCACTCTCTCGCTTGCGCACGTACTAGGGTCATGTTAACTTCAGTGCGCAAGCGTAATAGGTAATACTACGGTCACCGTAGTAGCGCTCCATACGGAATGGACACACTATCGCATCAACATCGGCATTCTCGCGATAGTATGGTCATAGGACCGCAGCCCACGTTAGTATGGTCATAGGACCGTGGCCCACACGACCGTTACCTCATCAGGAGCAAGTGTCCAGCGGACTTGGAGCACGACATCGCTGAATTTCTCGCACGCTCCGCGACGGAAAGTTCGAGTTTGGCAAGGAGGTTCCGACGAAATTGCCAAGCGCTCGAGAAGGCTCATTCGAAATGGGGAGATCGATTCGGCAAAGTGCAGGACGATAGAAAAAGGGTCGCGGAGAGGTGAATATCTCAGCCGTTTATCAGACTTGAAATCTGAAAGGGCTTTGCCAGGTATAATACGGAGAAAGATGAGAACGAGAAGGGTCTACCCTGGCTCAAGATACCAGACCTGCCCAAACGTGTTACCCGAGATGTTGATGGTGTGGTAGGGCCCTCAACACGGCTCATTGGGTAAGGGCAGTGTTCAGACTAGGAAGTATGCTAAGGCCCCGCATTTGAGCAAGCTGCTGAAGACGCAGTATGTGGCTGAGGCTATGAAGGAGTTCATTCAACCGGCCCGCCGAGCTCGAGAGTTGAGGAGAGCCTCGGCGGAGCGGTGCCTGGAGGAAATGGACGGAGACGGCGGCTGGTCGAAGACACCGCCGGCTACCACTCGCGATGCTTGCCCGTTCCGATGGGATGAGGCTACCGAGAAGAGGTTTATCAGGTCAAACTTGCCATAGTTAACCTGAAAGATAACCTATGAACTCAACACCAATTCGCACTTCGTCGCATTCAGTGATGCGGCTCGAGAGTGGTCAAATTGGTAGAGTAGCAGTGTTGGAATACATGTTCGCTTCCCTCAGCTAAGCTCAGGAGTTTCCTCCTCACAATTTTACATACAAATTAGGGTAGAAGTGTACTCTAGCCAATGAGAATTTCCTCAATTTTCCGCAGAATTTCCACAGATGTCACCTACACATGTAGTTGACCATGTGCATATTTTCTCACACGACGTCAGGGAGTAGTAGTGAATGGATATTCTGCTTGGCCCTCCCTAGGTGAGGGCTCTTGGTTTAGATGCCAGAAAGCAATGAGACATAACATAGGCAATAAGACAACGAACTGGGGTAGGCTCACCATGCTGAGGATGTTGCACGATACCAACTCTGAGATTAGACAAGGACGCCAGCTTACATACAGGCCTGGAGGCTATGGTAGGCTCGTGAGGGGCACGGATAGGAGCCGATGGAACTCAGGGGATGCCTCCTCCGAATTGATTCTGAGCAGCTCTATGACGTCGTTGGTGAGGGACCACATTCAAAAGGATGTACTCGACATGCCGGCAGAAGCTCGAGAAACGTAAATCTCAACGGGGCATCTCTACAATTGGGCGAATATTTAGTTTGAATGCTTTCCAAAAAGGCGTTGGTGAATTGATAGGCTATTATGATCTAGATCGAACTAGGGGTGCTCCGCTGTGTTCGGATGGCGATCGGAAGGACGTCTGCTGGGATGCCTAAATGGTCAGAGTGGAGGAGCAAGTATCGTCTACGTTGACTTATGAAGCAGCTCGGGATCTTCAAGCCTGGTCAGACAATCGCTCTAAGTACTTAGCGAAGAAGGCCAAACGGCTGGAGCGCAGTTAAGCCGTCCATGCAAAATCGGCGCTTCCTGGTTTGCAATAGAGAACTCCTTACGAGAGCACCAAGCAGAGGCTAAGCGTGCCAGGACGAGAGTCGCTGCCAACACCAGGAGAAGCGCTCGACGAGTTCGAGTGTGGCTCAACGTATGTCTGCCAGGGCGGTTCTCAGCTGAGCTTCTCATAGAGTCCTCGACGGACGCATCCTAGTGATGGTTCGGCCGGCTACAGGAAGGATGTGGAGCGATGGGCGGCACGCGGCACTGAGACAGATGACCGACGACGCCAGTACTTGGCCCGTGGACGATTTACAGGAGGTGCGTGGCCGCCCTGTTGGTCCTGTGTTGCTGTGGTTATGGCAGGCCCCTATAATGACTTTGCCAAGCTATACACCCAGAAAGACCGTGAGCAAGCAGCTCTGTTGCTGCAACGGAGTTGGAGGGCTCGAAAGTTCAGTCAGCGGATTGAAGGGGCCATACAGAAACGTTTAGAGTTGGAGAGACGAACGCACGAATTACAGGCAAGAGGGACCCAACTGGAAACGATCACAGTCCACGCGTGGTGCGGTGACGGCATTTTGGTGCTGTTCAGGCAAAGGAAGAGCAGAAGAAGGTCGCTAAAGGGGAGTATGGGTCGTCCAAGATGGTAAGAGGCATATTCCATGGTGGACACAGTGAGGGGCATCGGGATAATCTCCGGGCTAAATTGGTGAGCACTCCGGGGGACTAGCCGCGGTGTTTCACGGGTTTTCATGCTCGTTTCAGAGGCTGCACGGAAACGGCTTCGGCTATAACTTTTCAAGGGAAAGCTTTGGAACAAAACCACGGATATATTTCAGCTATATCATCTAGTTGGGGAAATAGAAATTCTAGTTTCAGTCTCAATTTCACGCTAGGACTCGGGCCATGGCGGCGATCGGTTCGAGCCTCTCTTGGCTCTTCAGCTCACTTCGGTGGTCTTTCCCTCCATAGTTCTCGTGCAGGTTGCCATTCGTGATGCCCTACGTTTTACACTCATAGCCACTCCTTGCTATCAGGTCCATTGGATACGTTATGCTGGCCGATGGGCTCCTCGCGTGATGCATAGTAGGGAGGTAGAACTGATGGAGATGCTCGCGGAAGGTATAGGGGACCAGAAGGACTACGGGTAAACCAGTCTAGGTCGAGGAGCGTATAGTATATACTCATAGGTACGCCTTGGAGGTTGCTTGCCGGGAAGGCCATCGTGACGGCATCATCTTCTTCCTGAGCACGCCTGGTATGGCCGACTTACTGCGACCGTTCATGGTCAAGTGCACAGTGTGCGCGGCTGAGGCATCCAATGACAACTGCTTCGGTCTCATGCTGGACCAGCTCACTTCGTCGGAGCTTTCCGAGTTGGCTGAGTCCCATCCTAATCTGTACCGCTCTACTGAGCGTCGACGAAGTTCAGTACCGATAGCGAGGCGGAGGAGGCGGAGCTCCTTGGCGATCACCCAAGGTGGAGGCCGAGGGTCGGAGCACAGCAAGCTGCTGAGATTAGCGCGACGGAAAGCTGGGAACGTCGTTCGAGCCTGGCGACTTTATTTCGACCCGCGGAGTTCCAATGGGAAACTCGATTTTGATACTTTTGTGGTGGCCTGCAAAGAGGCGAACGTCATTGGAGACTATGCTAGGGCGTTTCTCGAGGCCCAGGGGATAGAGCCTCCTCGAGAACAGACGTACCTCCATCCGAACGGCTGCGTTACTTTTTATGACTTATTTGACCACAACCTAGAGGGAACGGCGTTGCGTCCCAGCGAGATCCTGATGGCATTCCGTAGTGCCTTGAACAACGCTGTAAGGAATTTGGGCCGAGTGAAGGGATCGAACCCGGCTGAAAGGTGGACAGCACTGTTTGAGACAACGAGCCATGGCAGGAGGATACCGAGGGACCACTTCACGCAGGTGATCTCCTAGTGAACGAGATGGCGTCTTGAATACTCCTAGGTTTGCGAGAAACGACGGCTGATGCCGCCCGAGACAGATCTGAACACGCTCTTTGACTGGCTCGATGTCGATCGCGATGATCACTTGCTTGAGTCAGACTTCGAGTAAATCCTCGTTGTTGGTCATTTACTGATTGCTGGTCCGGCAGGTGGCTTCATCACAACTTCAAATTGGTGCATCAGTGACCCTCTAAGTAGCGGGTGGAGCATGACACGCTTGCCTGTTAGTTTGCCAACCCTTCTGATCGCGGGCTGAAGCATTTGGTTGTTGTTTGAGTATACTCGCTGGTGTTTTGCACGCGTGCGCAGTGCGCGTGCGTGCAAAGGAGTATAGCACTACATTCATGTGGGGCGGCACAGGCCCAGCCTAGAGTAGGTCACTTGAGGTATGCAGTAGACGTAGTCCTCACATGGTTCCACGGCTGGTCGGAGATGGAGGTGTCGAAGTGACCGATCGAACAGAATGCTATGGGAGGTTAGAAGACTCATTAGAGCCAGGAGTATGCCAGCTCGGTCGAGATTCTCTTCACTTGAGTTCTTCGCTGGTCACGACCACTGGGCTGCCGTAGATGTGTTATTGGATATTCATCGGTTCCACGTCGGAGTTTGGGGGTCGCCCATCATCAGTGCGCCGGCATGAGCTGAGCTCTCCATCCTGTGGTGGATGCCTCCTCAGCTCATTGGGGGTTGGCCGAAAACCCCTGGCCATGTTATTCTATCCGACGGCTGAGCGTGGCACATTCGTGAGGAACAGTAACCATAGCTGTATGTGATTCACATGCAGGGCGGCGTGTCTATTCGCGGGAGTCAAGCCGATCGATCTGAAGCGGACCTCAGTAGAGGCGGTAGTGGCTGCCGGCATGTATAGGAGGACGCTGGAATACTGAAGATGGTGATGGAATGCGACATGGCGGCTCGACACGAGCTCGAGGACTCTGGGTGTATGCGCTGGATCCGAGTACAGTCTGCCCGGTCACTAGCCAGGACTGAAGTACTTTCCTACAACAACGCGGGTTACTGGTGCTGCTTTTCCTGCATGGAAGTTCACAAGGAGCATTCGATAGTCTCTACAATAGGGGGTGGAACAGGACTTACCATCGGTCGTGTTGTGGAGTGGAGAACCATTTTGTAATAGCGCGCGTAACGGAAGAACTAAGGGTAGAACTCCGCCTATGTGAACTTCAGAGAGAACTCTGCCTATGCGGAGGGACTAAGGTAGGGCGTAGTAGTAGTAGTAGTAGTAGTAGTAGTAGTAGTAGTAGTAGTAAGGTGTGTGGTAGTGAAGTAGTTCACTTCTAATACTCCTTGTTTGAATGGCCCGGTTGGGGATGCGGTGATGCCATGAATGCTCATTGTCATGTTCACTTCAATCTCATGCTATACAGGTGTCTCTTGTGTTTCATCAATCGTTCGGATCGTTACGGTATTGGGTTTGCCAGGGTTCCACCTTGCGGGTAATTTTCCACACTCGGACAAAGCCAGCTCCAGCGTTGGTAGTGATGAAAGTCGCTTGCAGTGGAGTAATGGGAGCCCTGGAGGGGTAGTAGTACGGGCATGGGTCGTACAGTGTATAAGGGCATCCTCTTCGTCTACGCTATTTCACTTAAACGAGCTGCTTCGTAGGCGTCGTCAGGTTGAGGTGATAGCTCGAGTAGGACGATTGAACAATGGCTGTGTGCATGCCGTATTATCGAGGGGGAAGCAGATAATCGATGTATAATACAGTATTGCATGATGGGCGTCATCGCATATGTATGTCCAACTGGACGCTGTTTGCCACTAAGGTTAGGGAGTGGGACGGGCGAAGAAGAGATCCCTCCGGCTCGGTCATCAGTTTTGTTGGCGAGAATCTTCAAAGCTGTGGGCTAACTCACTTTTCTATGTACTACGTGAGAAGAGGTTCGGATGAGCAGTTCCTGCGGCCACTAGGTCGGTTTACACCAGCACGGACTGTCTCTACTGTTCACGACAGGAATACGACGGACGTTCTTCTGAGTCAACACGGCTCCAGCTTGCTCGTATGCCTCTGATGCCGATCGGCCGGCTTATAGTACGTGAGGACAGCTATATATTGATATTGGTATTCTCGAATGGATATCCAATCTACACGGTGGTTCGTCCCGAAGTCCGCTTGGTGTGGTATCGACTGCAGGACGATCTCATGCAGGGCTTCAGGCACATGTTCGTGCTGAATATTCTGCGACATGCGATGAAAGGGCATCGTCTCAGCTTTAAAATTTTTCTCTTTCTTCGGTAGTGCCTTTCACAGTCTGATTTGAATAATGTCCTCGAACGCGCCCACTCCCCCACCGCCTCTGGCTGCCCCTCCGTCCCACGTAGCGGTCATAGACTTCGGGTGAGAGCACTTCACATGCAGGAGCTGACAATTTTGTGGCGCGGTTACGCTTTTGTTGTCATTTTCAGCTGTACAACAATACGGGCGGGGTATGCAGGAGACGACCGGCCACGGCTTGTGGAATCTACGACGGTTCGGAGGAGGTAACACGCTCAAGTTTTCGATACCGGATGCCTGTGTCTCCAGGCCAGCCCTTGATGGCGATGGTGATGCTGCGATGACCTCAAGCGAACTTAGCCGACCCTCCGACTTCGAATGGCCTGTGAACTATGCCGCCTTGTCGTCCTTGGAACATGCCAACGACCGAGAGTAACGACGTCTATACTAACTACTTTCGTTTTTATTGTGCGAACGCGTGGAAATTTGATTTCTTGGCTAATATGGCGAATATCGTGATTATGCAGTCATCAGGTATGTGACTGGAAGTATTCTATCGTATGATAACACTTCGCAAACTGTGGGTATGGGCGACGAAGACAACTTGAAGCGGGTGAGGTAGCTTAGTCACTAACCTTGCGTTTATTTTTACTTTAGATCCTCGAGTCAGTCCTGTTTTCTGCGGGCGGCCCTGGGCTGGAGTTCTGCCGGGACGGCGGCAATGCTCTGCAATCAGTATTGTTGAGCTCTCATGAATTCCTCAGTGAAAAGGCTAGGGAGAGATTGCTGGAGATGATGATGGAAGACGTGGGTGCCAGGGCAGCAGCGTATGGTCCCATACCCCCGATTTTGATGCGCGATATTATCACAAAATCGGAATTATTCACCCAGGCGAACGAAATACGTTCCGAGTAACTACTGCGGACGAATGTCAATCGGATGTAGACCATCACTGGTGATGATTACCTGTTACAGGTCCTGTATGAGAAGGCATCCCAGGCCGGTGTTCTCGTGGCTAAACGAGCTCCTCTCGCTCTCTTCGCCAACGGCAAAACCTCAGGAATCTACGTCGGCATGGGTGAGTCCGTAGATCACCATCAGTAGAATCAGCTGTTCTTTTAGGCGGGGAGTTTGTGTCGGCGTCAGTGGTGAGCTCGGGGTATACGGTACCTTGTACAGTACGGCACTGTCATAAAGGCGGAAGAGCGATGGATGAATACATAGCAGCTCAGGTGAGCCTTACTTCGCTTCTCACGGTCGCTCACAGTGTGGGAAAATTCACACATAGTCGGTGACAATATGAGGACTCCGAATTGATCTCTGTGCATTTTTATCTGGATTCATATTTAAGCTTCTATAATCAGTGAGGAACCTTGTGAGCTCAGCTGAGGAAACCGAACGTATATTCCAACACTGGTTGCCCATAGTATGGACTTTTTATTCGACGTGGTAGTTCACCAGCAGAGGTCTATGTTACGATAGTCCTGATGTTGCACATTGTCAACTGAGCGGTTGCAGATTCTGGGCGAGGGAGCTCAAAGACCGTCAGAAGATCAGCGGATGGCTGGTCGCCTCTTTGACCTTGGCCGGAACATGGGCTTATCGACGCTACCTGATCGCCCAGCCAGCAAGGGGGAGTTGACCGGGAAGGAGTTGGCGGTTTGCAGTATGGCTGAGATGACCAAGATTCAGAGCTGTGTCGCTAGAGAGGAACGCGGTAGGTTCCTCCCTCCGGCTTTCTATGTTCATTTTCTGCCCGTCTATAGGGGCTATCAGTAAGTTTTATTTTGTCTATCTCATTGTATTGGAGCTTTTCCCGTGATATGAAAAATACTGGTGAGAAACATATTTCACATTTTACTTGGCGAAAAATGTATTTTTCAATGTGTTTTTCACGTGGAATATAACGCCACTTCACGTAAAACGGGTGAAACTCATTGAAATGAATACAAATGTGTACTCTATTCACAGGCCCACTTCAGTCGAGTCTACCGGATGGAACTGTCGTACCAGGAGCGTGGAAAACTGATGCTATCGAGCAGATCATTGGAGGTGAGCCGTTCGTGCCTATCATCATCTACGCCATTGATCAGAGTTGTCCTCGATGGTGGAACAGTCTTTGAAGGCTTTCTCAAACTCCTCGGAGCCCGCCTCGGCTGTCAATGCAGTGTCCCAGTCCGTCATATTATCAGGACAAGCTTCACAGGTGCCGCGGGAGGCCACCAAAACTACCGCGAGACGTGTCTTTTCAGACGGCTGGGCTGGTGGAACGCCTGCAGAGGGACTGTGCGATGAGCTTGCGTGACGGCAAGGTGATGCCGTTTTTTGCCTCCATCGTATCGTTGCTCAGTCGTTGCTTCTCTAAGGTTCGAGTAATGGGAGGCTCTGGATTCCCTACGGCAGCCTCTGGTGGGGAGCGAGGATACTGCCCGTGGTTGGGTGGTTCCATAGTGGGAAGCATGGGAAGTAGGTTGGGGGCCATCGTGGTAGCCCGGCATACTCTGTGTAGGTTTCGCTTCGCTCGTGATAACGCCTAAGGAGTACGCCGAACATGGTGCTCGAATTGTCCATCGTAAGTGTTTCTAACGTTTGTGCTGGAATATAGATTTACGGGCGAGTTGTTGTGTTGTCAATGTCGTACCCAGTGTGGGAATATTGTGCACATGGTCAACAACATGTGTTGGTGGAAATATGGAAATTGTATTTTAAATTGGAATTTGTACACTTCTACCCAAAATCGTGTATGGGTTTTCATGGTTTGATGAGGAAGCTTACGAGCTCAGTTGAGGAAACCGAACATATATTCCCTTACTGGTCGTATCAGTGAGAACGATCGTGTCACAGCCCGTCCATTGTGTCACCGTCTCTCAATGGTCAAGGCGACAGCTGATAGTGATGCTGCTGCCCTCAGCTTGCAAGCTCATCAGACCATCTCGAAAAACTTCGCCAAGTGCCCGGCAACTCTAGCTATCATCGAGCTCCCGTACAGAGTTGGCAAGTCGCAAGTAACGTTCGTTGTCTTGCAAGATGACGGGCGGGTGGAAACCCGCGAGGAGCGCAGCCCTTTGGGGTCGTGGTGGCCGAGCTCAGCCAAGTGTTTGTTACTGCAACAGGAGGAAGGCCCTCTGGAATTTGCCCACCAATGCAAGTCGGTGTGGTTGACTCCCTGTCGTAGCACTGCTGCTATCCTCAAGCCTGGCGATGATTCCTCTCCTGCGGCCTCCGACTTTGCTCTCTTGAAGGCGGTCACTGTTCAGAAGAAGGGGCCCTCTTTGGCCATGCTGCGATCGCCTAGTCGCCGAACTCGCACTGCAATCATTGAGCTGCCGGCGAGTCCTCTGGACACGAAGCATTCAAGCCTCCTCAAGGCCATGGGCCTCCGGGTCGTGGATCACCAAGACTGTGGCCGCGTCCTCATTGCATCGAGAACATTCAAGGACGGGGAGTGTATTGTCTTTTCGAAAGTAACGAAGTACACTATCGAGAGTCATGCTGACATCGACCAGCTTCGGCGGCGTGACCATCCCGAGCACTGCTTCCTCACGATAATCCACGAGAGCCGTGGCGGTATTTCTCTCTATTACAACAGGGAGACCTTCGACATAGCAGACCCTATCGGTGGTGGCGACCTCTGGTACTTGGTGAATCATTCGACTAGTCCGAATGCCCAGCTTAGACCCCACGATGGCGGCCTGCGCGTCAACGCCGTGAGGGACATTTCTCCTGGCGAGCCGATCACCTGGCGGTACCCCAACGGTTTCTTCAGCGAAGAGGATGTGATGATATCACTTCCCCGAGCGGTCAACGTGATTGATGATCCTAAAGCATTCGGTGGATGATGCCTTGCACTGTTGAAATTCAATGTAGACTATTTTCCTCATGTTGTGTCGAGTTACTGAGTTATTGAACAGAATGTATTATTACTGTACAACATAACGAACAATGAACCGATGAAACAAAAGTAATCGGTAATGGTACGAGACGACTCCATTTGTACATACATGATGGAGGGTTACATAAATGGACTATATATTTTACTAGTGTGCATCACAATCGACCCAAACAGAGAATCCTCCTTTGACGGTTCTTCTCGACAGCCATAACTCTGCAGATCTTCCAGACAAGTGGATGCCCGACTCGTAGTCCTCTAGTCGCACAGTACAACCATTTTTGGCAGCACAATGGGGATGAAAACTTCTGTTGCATTTGGAGCATTTCATAGTTATACCAAGAACACTGTGGCAATAGTGACAAGACTGGAGAAAATTACGGGGCCGTATGACGGACCCCTGCCGGAGGTCATGAAAGTTGAAGACCGGCGCAAGGCCCATCCAGTGGGCGCATCGGAGATGGACTTTGGCCGAGCAACCCGGAGGGACACCAGGACCTCCTGGTATGTCCACGAGATCACCATCACTGTGCAAACACATCACGCAGGGCTGAGTCGATGGGCCCCCACTCGGGCTGGTCGTAGGTGGTGCCGTGGCCGGAGTCGTCAGAACGGAAGGCCGGTCCGCGACCGATTCGGGGGTCTTTGAGTCGTTTACTGCCACACCAGGGTCCATCCAGGCAAGCCAGAGATCTTCCGCGTCAACGCCACGGTAGAGGTCATAGCCTTCGTTGACTATTGAAGCTGCTGCACTATTGGCGATAGCAGCTGCGAAGCCACCCTCCGTCTGTTCCGCATATGGCGAGTTAGCGATAGTTTTAGTGAGCTTGTCGATCATACCAAAGGCATCGACATCTGCCATGTGCTGGCGACAGTATATGAGCCAGTTATGGTTCGTGGGGTCGGGAATAGTAAGGGCGTTGCGTGTAGCACAGCTGACGTGGAAGTGTTGGGAGCATCCCGTCGAGCCGCATCTCACAGTTTCCCCCACAGCCTTGTCGCAGATGCCACAGACAGGGGCAGTCGACTCGGACCGAGAGAAGCGCATAGCTGCTCGCTCAACATCCGGAATCGATCGGCATTTCCATGCGAACATACCGCACCTCACGTGAATCCATCGGATGCTCCCTCGGAGCATCACCGACGTCATCAGACCTCCACCAAGGCATCGCCGATCACCACCGCAGAGAAAACAACTCAGATCATCAGACTCGCTGGCGTCACCATTTTCCAGCGCAGAACACAAACGGCAGAGCCAGGAGTCCTCGTCGAGGATTCTGCTGATCTCGTAACAGTACTGATGACCAGCCACCCCACACCCAGAGCAGACGACCATCTGATTACCCCGGGCCAGGTCTGGTTCCAGACAGATCGAGCACACTAAGTAGCTCGTGTCTCCCTCTGGATCGTCACTGGTGGTGACTCCAAAAGTCGGCTTGAGGTCCCCATTATGAGGGTATACGTTCATCGGCGGAGGCCTTGCCCTCACGAGAGCCTTCATTTTCTCCACCACCGGAGCATTTATGGACCGCCGAGCGACCGTGAAGGACTCAGTCCGAGCCTTGACTCTGCACGCCAACTCCCTCTTGCGTTCCACTACTTCTCGCAGGCGACTTCTGAGTATTTGAGCCTCCGTAAGAGACTCCGATCTAAGATCCATAGCCACCGTAGAGCAACGCACCGGCCCGGCCCGAGGCATGCCCGGCTGGGGCGACGAGCTTCCCCCATCAGCCGTGACCCACAGCACCTCTGGAGTCAATGGCGGCGGCTCCTCCCTCATATACCGGCCATACTGAGCTTTCATTTGGCTCGCACACGGCAAGGTAATGGCGGCCTCCACTCCCAGAGCCGGCCCTGCATCGACTTCAGCTCCACCTGCTGCCTCCAACTGCATGACCCAACCCTGTATGGGCGGCCTCATGATGCCAGATGGAGCCAGAACCACAGGTCCTCCAGAGGGGACGACAGTGGCGTCAACAGCATTACTCAAGAGCTGCATGGCAGGCATCATAGCAGCCGGGGAGGGCTCCTCGTTACATACCTCTAACCATAGCTTCCGGGCGCTCTCCATCGCGATTTCCTCACGGTCGTCTTCAACATCACTACTCTCGTCGAGTGCTGAGGAGGTGGGAGGTCCCCAACCACAGGGCCTAGGCGACTTCCCCAGGATGTCCCGAACACGCCTTTTCTTATTGTGTATTTTCCTGGGCGACCGCGACCGACCCGCCTCGTCCCTGTCCCGGCGCCTCTTCCGCTTGTGTTTCTTCTTCTTTTTCTGCTTCTGCACTGTAGTGCTGCTACTGCCCAGTCTCGAGCCATCAACACTACCATCGACCATGTCTTTGTCGGTGAAGAGAGGGGTAGTAGCGGGGTGGTCGTCACCAGAAGTAGTAGGGGTAACGGCAGAGAGCCAGTAGCTGGGAGGGGGGTTCTTGATGGTGGAATTCACAAAGGGCGGGAGGTGGTCGTGCTGGTCCTGCAAGTCTGCGGTGGTCGATGAATCCATGACACCAGCTGGACCAGAGACGAAAGTCTAGCAAGAACCTCAGAAGAAGATGCATTTCATGTCCCCAACACCAAACGGGACATGTAAAGAAACTCAATTGAAGACATGAAGGTCCAAGCCACACTAATACTCGAAAAAGCCACCAAATTCGCACTCAAATAGTTCGCTGACAAAAGGCCTGCATGGCGTGATCGACCAACAAGAGCTCTTTTCGAGGGTCGTGGAAGCGATAGAGAGGCGCATCTATGATGGCTGCACTCACAGTCGTAACGTATAGGCTCCAGATCGATCATGTTGGTACTCTCATCGACATTCGGAACCGGCTTACTGTCTTCACACTGCCCTCAACCAACTCGTGGGCTCCCTCACGGACTTCCATGCTCCTCCACTCCACTTCTTCTTATTGCAATGCCCACTACCGCCGCCCTTCGCTGACCACCCGGCCGACTCCACATCATCATTCCCTCCTACCTCTCTCCTCCAGCAGTCCACTGTCCTTTCTTCGACCAACCATACAGCAACGTTCATCACCCCCCTCCCCCCCTACCATCAGAAGCCTTCTTCCACCTAGAAAGCCCAAACGGGAGCAGGCAGCACCTTCATCCTTGGCCCAGCCTCCTCCTTCACGATCCCTATAGGTCGCCATTACCCGTTCTAAGATCGCCGTTGTCGCATAAATTTCATCATAGTCTCCTTGACCTACACCCGAGACAAAAACTGAATACAGCCGCTAGCAACCGTGTCCACCCTTGAGCGATCTAACTTCTCCTTAATGAGCGTTAGCCCTCCCCCTTCTTAGACGTTCCTGTCGGCAGAGATGAAAGAAACAGTAGTTTCCCTCACCGTACGAAGGCTTCGACAAATTCCTCCCTAATTGGGTCCTAACAAATCACCATTGCTACCAACAACGACTTCCTCCTCCTCCTCAACGGCCGGAGATGGATTCGCATCAGAGGCCCACATGCGAATGACCAAATGCAGAGAAACGAGCGCATGAGCCCTGAGCACCTATTTCCCATAGAGATACTGCCAACTACATATAGAGTATCAAAGCTACGAGATTTGAATTGGCTACTATAATAGTAGCCAATTCTTAGCAGTAATAGTAATACTAATATAGAATAATACAATAATAGTAGTACTATTCGAGGGAGGGCGATAAACCCGGAAAAAACTCCACTCCGATGGAGAGACGTAACAGACATGGAGAACATGCTGACAGATGTACATATCAGTGTGGAAAGATATACGCATGCTCAGCTACATATGTCGGTGAGAATATGAAAAATTTGAGGAAATTTCGAGAGACTGTTGTTGATTTCAGAACACTCCTACCCAAATTTGTGTATATATCTCTATTATTAGTGAGGAGACTCTTGAGCTCAGGTGAGGCAAACGAGCATATATTTCAACACTGGTACATATCCTCTGACCTAGAATTAGATGTATCCATGAGAAGGGCGAGTTTTGGTACGTCAACACTGTGTAGCTTGCGTTCTTGCGATATCTTGCATTTCCTCAACGCTATTGCGCACACGCCACCACTATCCGCTGTCTTTTTCTTTGTCCAACTACTTATGCTTGTCAAGCAGTCTGCGGTCCTGTGTAGGAGGCTGGGTCCGCTCTGTAGGACGTTTACTTCGTGGAAGGACTATGAACTCGTCGCCAGTGAGTCTATTTCTGAGATCTCCCGAAATTTATGTTACGTTTTTTCAGAACGCCTCGACCGTGAGTTCCCTGCTGAAGACCCTAGAATGGTGAACGCTTACCGTATTAGAACTCTGGCGCTGGAGCTTGACGACTTCATAGACGATCCGAAGGCGGTGCTGAAAGAAAAAGATGCGGCAGGCATAGTCAACCATTGGAAGCACATGTGAGCTTTGTGGGAGTATACACCCACATACAATCATCGGCATCTACTTGAGCCTGTTACGGTATGAGATCAGTGATATTTAGATACGACGCTCGTCTACATGCTACTGTTTACCCGGAGATGGCTGAGGACAAGGAGTCCTGTCAAGGCGAGTCATCGAGCTGGGAGCATGACCGCATCTCGGTCGAGAAGGACCCATCCAAGAAAGTGGCTGACTTAGCCAACGCTAGTACCATCCGTCGGGCTAGGGAGGTCGACAGGGCCATGCAAAAGGACCGAGCCCACCGTATTAAGAACTAGAAGATACCTTTTTTCAGCACTCCGGACACTTAGCAGGTTCTGTGGAGTATTTAATCTTACAGCGATCATCACTACACTCCCCATAATAGTCATTATTGCTCTCACACGCGGGGACGCCAGCCATCCCTACTCTTTTGCTCCTAGTGATTGAAATATTACTGTTGTGCAATGTGGTGAGGGAGTTCAATAGAGCTGCTCTTTTGAGTTCGACGAGCTCTCCCAAGATGGAGCTCCACATGTTAGATCCAATCCTGGGAGTCCCTTCTGAACCTCAGGAGAGATCTATTGAGGACGCCGAGTAGTTCCAAGAAGAGACGAGGAATCAGTCTTTGTTGTTGTTTTTTTTCTGATGTCGGGTTTCCTATCGAGAGCCAATCTGCCTCTGGTGACCAAATCTGGTCAGCGGGCTACCGTCCCTGACGACCAAACCGTCGTTTGCCTATACTTCTCGGCCCATTGGTGTCCGCCGTGTCGTCAGTTCACTCCTATGCTGAAGCAGTTCTATCAGCTTGCGAGGTCGGTCGGAATGAAAATAGAGGTGGGGCTAGCATGGGCGTATGACTGTGAAAAGGTGGCCTTTGGTCAGGTGGTCTTCGTGAGCTCTGACAGGAGTGAAGCGGAGATGCTCGACTACTTCCGTACGGAACACGGCGACTGGTTGGCCTTGTCGTATTCGGACCGCTCTCAAGCTCAATGGCTGGGCCAGAACTTTGGAGTTCGGGGGATACCATCGTTGAAAGTCCTCAACTATGATGGCGAAGTGGGCACGGTGTGGTATGAGAAAATAGTAAAGACTTTTTCCCTGGTTAGTCCTGTGTGGCTGATGGGCGATCGGAGGTCATGCGAGCCCTACAGGGAGGACCAAGTGGGATGGTCAACTGCTTGCAGTCGTGGAAGGCCCTATCGGGAGTCTCCGCAGCCACTGCACTTGATACTTCTAAGCTCTCTCTCCAAGGCAAGGAGCTTGCTCTCAAACTCCTTAACAACGTGCTCGGTCGTCCCTCCGAGGCGAAGTTCCGTACGATCAAGTTGCACAATAAGACGATTTCCCAGGCTGGGCTGGGCAGTCCCGAAGGGGAGGCGGTGATGACCGCGTGTGGCTGGCAAAAGGTGGTGGGCTCTGACCCCGGCTATACGGTGCCACCAGTTAACGATGCTTGGCTGAGGGCAAGTCGAGGGGCACTGGAGAGAGCTATCGCTAGGGAGAAGGCAACGGTTGTGACTGCGTCGATGGAGCCTAGTGGAGCCGTTCGGGCAAAGATATCCTATGCGACGCACGCGGAAGAAATTGAAATCGAGACTGTGGATCTCTCAACTTTACGGGCGTTAGTATCATCATTGTTTGAAATTGAAGATGAAAATTCTGTGAAGATGTTCAGCGAGCAGCTGAGGGCTGAGGGGGAAGTCTGTCAGGAGGATTTGAAGGGACTAGCACTGGCAGGAGCGGCTGGGAAGGAGGTCGAAATTGTGGTAGGTGTGGGGAAGTGTTGGCGACACTAGGGAGTTTTTTCGAGGAAATTTTGGCGAATTATGGTTGATTTTTGTATACTTCTGCGCTGAAACGTGTGTGGGTTTTAATAAAGTAGTGAGGAAAATTATGAACTCTGCTGAAGAAAGCAAACAAGGGGGGGCGGTAGGTAGCATCTTCCCCCATGTCATCGTAGGTGTTAACCTCGTTGAGTCCCTCGAACCCCTGCCCTGCTAAGTTGGTGGGTAGTGATAGTGAAGCTAATGGTTGGGCCCAGGAGGTCAGGGCTGGCCTCACGGCCCAGGTGGAGTCGAAGGCTGGGGGTGTTGGTGTGAAGGACAGTGTACGGCAGCAGATCGTCAACAATGCAATGCACGTACAGGTGGTGCAGGGGAGCCTCCTTATTGTTGTGGACTTGGTTGTTAGTTGTATGAAATCCCTTCAAACCAGCAGGCTGCCTTGTCGGTGGTCCCAGTCGTTGAGCTTCATAAGAAGGCAGTCAGCCGTTGTCGAGCGTTGGTGGAAGAGGACGGTAGGCTCTAGATGTGGTTTTGGGGTGAAATATGAAACGCAGGGATGAAACTCAGAATCAGGATCTACTAGTGCTCATAGTGAAAACATGCAGGATCAGTGTGTAAGCATTATTAGGCTGATAACGAGGGGTTCCCGGGAGTAGGATGTCGTAGGACTGTTAAGTCTCTGCATAGGCAGTGTTGGATTTTCCCCTGCCAGGACGGTCGCTTTCCTCAGCTGAGCTTGGGAGTTTTCTTACTAATTATCGACGACATAGAGTAGAAGTGTATAGGAAACAATAAAAATTTCCCAAGAATTTTCTTATTTTCATTAACACACTAGTTGACCCTGTGCACATTCTCTTGCACTGTGTATAGGTTCTCCCTACTATGCTGAGTGCCTTCTTGAGGAGCTCGTACAGTGGTTTAAGAAGTCCTTTTTCAAGTGGATGGATAAACCTGAATGTGATGCCTGTGGGTGTAAGAACACAGAGAGTCAGGGGACTACGACGCCGACCCCCGACGAGGCCAAGGGCATGGCCAGCCGAGTGAGCTTATCCACCTCCTGACCATCTCTTGCCCGACTGTGGTGCTCTTAGGTGGAGGTGTATCGATGCACAGTGTGTGGGTCTGTAACGAGGTATCCACGTTATAACCATCCAGTGGCTCTTCTCCACACTCGCAGTGGTCGCTGTGGAGAGTGGGCCAATTGTTTCTGTCTAGTGGCTAGGAGTGTGGGGTTTGAGGTGAGTCTGAGAAGAAGCTCATATATCGGTAGTCGCCCGGGCAGGTCCGACATGTCATTGACGCAACTGATCACGTTTGGTCGGAAGTGTGGGTCGACCGACAGCAGCGTTGGGTGCACGTCGACCCTTGTGAAGCCGTTATAGATGCACCGCTAATGTAGTGTGTTGGAATAATTTTGTGGCGCAGTGACGCGGTAGTGCAGGTATGAGAGTGGTTGGAAAAAGAGCCTTTCGTGGGTTTGGGCGACGTCTAGGGATGGCTGTAGGGATGTGACACCTCGATACACGCGTCACCTCAGCACAAAAGAATTCCAAAGTCGCCGACAGGCTTATGCTGGGGATGTGAAAGGAATGGAGGAGGTAGTAAATTAAAGTTGGGAAATTATGGGGTGTCTTGTAGAACCAAACTGCTGCCAGTGGAGAAAATGCAGCATTTAAGGTCGAAAATTTTTTCAATGTTCGACCTTCTAATAGCCTTGGTTGATCTGAACTCCTAAGCCTTCGAAGAGATCGAGTACAAGATTTTTTTTGAAATTTCACAACTATCTATGAGTAAAATATTCAACGCGACATTCACTGAATGGGTAGGAAGGTGAAATTGTTGGTATGAAAATAAATTTGACGTGGAAACGCTGTTGTTGGTCCGCGTCCTTCACTTTTGTCGACTTATTTGTTGTTCATGGTGGCACTCAGGTACTTGTAGCCGTCAACGACACTCTGGAGAAATGCTATTTCGACCGGGTTCGGAAAGTTTCGCCAGGGTTCATCGAGGCTGTTAGGAAATTTGACCACGACCGTTCCGCACGCGAGAGCACCACGATAGGCTCTGATGAGGACGAGTCGTCTGCCACTGGAGTTGATCCATTTCGAAACTGCAAGACGGCCCTCAGCAGCGGTCGGCAGACAGGGTCGGTAGAGTGGCGGAAACAGCGTGGAGAGTTGGGGGAAAATCTGCTCGAGCATGGTCCGACTCACGCTGACACGGTATTCGTTGATTTGATGCCTAAGGAAGGGGAGGAGATGAGCGAGGTGCAAATCTTGGCCGACGACAACGCTGTGTATGGGTTGGAGGTAGGATGGAAGAGAGCGTCTTGCTGTGGCAGTTGTGTTTGGCGTCAGGTCATGTGGTGCTCTGGTGAGACTTGTCGAAAGGCATGCGCGATGTCCTCGTCGCCGCATGGAAAGCCGACCGCGCACGCCCTGGTGATCGATAAGGGAGAATCTATCACGGAGGTCGTCGGTCGCTGTGGCAGCTGGGTCGATTTTTTGAAGATTCGGACGTCGAGTGGACGGGAGATCAGCGCGGGAGGAAATGGCGGAGCGGAGTTTTCTATTGTTAAGGGAGATGAAGGGAAGCGTGTGATAGGGTTCAGAGTTGGATATGGGGGCCACATGCATAGTATTGGGGCTTACACCGCTGCCTTGGCCGATCCGGGCCGGCGAGATGCTGCTAAGGACGTTATGAAAGAGCTCTTCACACGATATGTGGAGGAAGGTATGATTTGTGGAAGTTGTGGTATGGGGATTGTGGCTCAGGTATGGATCAGAATGCTGCTGCGGCCAAGGCACTGTTGGAAACCAAGCGGAGACTGACTCGAGGGCAATAGTCTTATATAAACCATCTAGTTGAGTGCTCTTTCTCCAAGACCTCTGTTGTTTTTATAAGTCTACTAGTGTCAATGGTTGTGATGGGCACTGTCGTTCTGATGACATTGACCTCGTCACTGTATAGTTCAACATGAAAGTATAAACGACACTTGATCATCGCATGATCACACCGTGTGTATACCCTCTGAGCTAGCCATACAACCATAGCACGCGCTTCCTCGGAAGGCTCCAAACACGGCCTTTGGGCGTGCGCTTACTACCTATTACTACTGAAGATCATCAGATGATTCTGTCGAAATTCGAAGAGCATTGATAATGAACGAGTAGAAAGGCTCAGTCGGAACTCCTCGACGAGCATGCGCAGTACTCGGCAGCTGACTTGATTTACGCGTAGTCGTCTTGGAAGAGTGTCCGTGGGTGCTTCAAGCGAAGCAGTTGGGGTGGTGCTAGTATGGTAATCATATTACGGTTTGGTCGTTCTCCGGCGTTGAGGGAGAATTATGGTATCGGGGCTCGGAACGGCTGTAAGGTGCTTCCGTGAATCATGCGGAATTTTCCGAGTTTTTCAATGACTTTTCCCCCGGTTTTGCCCTCTACGTATGGTCCGTCCACAGCGCCGTATTCGAATTTGGCAAGGCGGTGTTGGGTGGGCTGAAACCGGGATAGGATTGGAGCCCTAATCCTGATGACCACTCTGCATATTCTGGCAGCATCGACGACAGTGTGTGAAAGATACGCCTGTTGCGCACAGCGAAGATTTGTTGGATTTCAGGGTTGATTGGGCGGACGGTTGTATAAGAAAGGCTGAGGGCTTCTCGGCGGTGGAGCTTCACAGCGGTGAGGAGGATGAGTATCGGTCCCGGTGTCGACTTCGGAGCCGGCTCATGGCTCTGCCTGGATTGGCACAGAGTTTGTCATGTTCGAAAACTTATTAGAGCATTTGATAATATGAACTTTGGATTCCCCTCGAGTTGAGGTTGGCCCTACTTGCCATTTGTGTGTTTTTAGTACCTTGGGTGGAAATCTATCATTTTGGTGAAGTGATGGCTATGACGTTGCTGTTGTTATTGGAAGAGATGCTCTACTTCGCCGTGGCCACGAGTGCGGTTTCGACGGACCGAGTTGGGCCCACATAGCGGCGATGGGACTTGAGGAGAATCCTCATTGGCCTCAGCTCCAGAAGCAGGTGGAGTTGGCATTCAGCTCATCTCTCACGCCGTTCGGGATTCCTCTACGGCGAGGGCGAGTAGAGCGATGCTCAAGCCGGGCTATCGACTGAGGCAGTTCAAGCAGGCCGGCTGGGAGGACCGTGATGGTGCCTCGGTGTGGAATATGTGTTTTCGCGTTGGGGGGAAATTATGGTGCAGTTTTTTAGGGAATTTATTGTTGATTTCGAATGCATAGTCGCCGCCCCAATCCTAAGGAGTTCATCAAGACACCACGTCTTCATCGGAGCATCATCAAAGACGTTGATGCTGCTGCTGCTGATGTTATCAAACTAAATCCGAATACGGCTAAGCCGAGAGCAAAGGCAAAGGCCAAGGGCAAGGCGAAGGCCAGAGGCAAGGCGAAGGTTAAAGCCAAAGCTGAAGGCAAGCGAGCAGGGAAAACTGTGGTGACTTTGGAAACGTTAGAGACCGACATCTCCCTCGGCAACATTGGTGGTGACAGTTCGAGTGATGATGAGTCGTCCTTACATGGCAAGAAGCGTGACAGAGGCTCTGACAGTAGCACCCTCGCTGAGACTATGCCCACTCCGAAGCGAGTTATGAGGGTTCCCCGTTTGGTCATCCGAAGTGCACTGCAAGTTTTGGGCCCGGCGGAGTTCCTTGATACACAGAGTATTTGCCGTCTAGCTGCGACTTGTCGGTTATTCCGTGAGATGTTCTATCCTGTATGTGGCTCGATCCGTCTACCAGTTTTGGATCTCTCGGGCACTGTGCGGGAGTCGCTGCTGCGAGTTGTTGGTCGGCTGGATGTGAAGGCGTTGAAAGTATTGCGTGTCGCTGTGGATGCCGATGGTCATCGCCGGGCTCTATCGGCGTTATTGGATAAGCACAAGTTCTTGCCTGAGCTGAGGCATCTCACACTCGAGTGCTACAATTCTCAAGTGAGCGATGCCAAGATTTCCCTCGTCATGGACCGCCTGACTGAGGCCTCGACGTCGAAGCTTTGTAGCCTTACTCTGGTGAACGTGTGTTGCGGTCCGGACTCGAGGGAAGCCGTGGTCGACCTGATAAACTCGGCCACAGGTCTCCGTTCGCTGTGGTTAGCGGAGCGGAGTCCATTGCCGAACCGACTAGCCTTCCCCCCTTCACTGGAGTTCCTCACCGTCACATCAAGGAGCTCCTCTTTAACTATGGATGTAAAACCTCTCATACGTTTTCTGCGGAAGAGTAACCTCCAGAGGATCACCCGATTCGATCTCAGTGGTGTGAAGGTCACTGGGATAGATGCTCTCTCTAAAGAGAGAGTTGAGGGTTTATGGAATCTTCCCAACTACATGCCCAAGTTGATATTCTTCGCCGTTCGTATACCGTTCTGCCCGCTGGGACTTCGTAGTCTCATAGAGCTACGTTTAGCTCATCCGCGGTCTTTGTTTCTGTTCCGACGTGCTCTATCTGAATGGCAGTCTCCTGGATTGGTTATCTCCCATCCCTCCGTGCGTCAAGGCCTTGTAGACTCGCCCTTCGCTAGAGCCTCCTCGACGTCAGATCAGATGCTTTGTTCTGCGAGGAATCTGTATCGCTTTGTTGGTTCGGCTCCTGGGCCCGATGTTTTGTATGAGAGTGAGTTCAACAGTACTTGGCAGGAGTTGTCGGATCCGTTGAAACGACAGTATATTATTTTAAGCAGGCTTTGGACAGCTGCTTGGAAGGATTCAGATTTATCCTCCCATTAGATTCATTAATCATGCCAGTATTCTGCAGCTCATATACCATGCTGCTTGTGTATTTTCGTATACTCTTTGCAATATGATTTTGATGTTGTGTGACATGTAGAATACAGACGCCTCTTGAATGCAGTCATTGATAAACATACGTGATTGATAAGTGCGGCCTGCGAGGATCGAACTCGCGACCTTAGGATTATGAGACCTACGCGCTACCTACTGCGCCAAAGCCGCTTGTGTTGGAAGTTTACTACATGACCAATAACCCGCCATGAGCATTAACAACCCTATCTAATATTAGTTACTTGATGAATTGGTTTGCTCGGAAGAAGTTACGTGTTCTTCATATCCCACACTTTTCAACTCAACAAGTTCACGAAAATAGAATTATCAAGGTGAAATATGAGAAGTGTGCACGCTTATTATTGCTCTACTTATTGAGAGATGTCTGCCAAATCTCTACAAGTCTGCACAGACTTTGACAAGTCATCAACATATACGTCACGTATGATACGTACTCAAGTTTACAACGAAGATCACGAACATCCCACAGACAAAACCTAGGAGAAGTGGAAGCCATCCAACACCAATTTCGTTGCACTCGAGACTAGCGAATTCGCATTGAACGAGTGTCACGGACAATGTTCTCTCAGGCCCGTGGAAGTACGGAGCTGCGCGAAGACACCAGTCTCGTCTGACACATTTTGCAACCTGTTCATTGAAGATAACGGACTCAAAACAAAAATCGGATGAGCTTTTCTGGCACGACATGAACACTGGTAGTGTGGTCACTCGTTTGAACTCTCTCTTGCGGCTATAGACCTCGCAGAGGGGTGTTCATATACTTCCACTCTCAACCAGTCCTTCGACACAGTCACCTTCCGCACAGCAACAGGAGTAACCCTCTCATCATTCCCAGACCGGTCAGTGTGGTGACTCCAAATGAGTTGGGACACCCTAAAGCTCAGCTACATCATGATGGATGCAAAAATGGCTAAGTTGAGTTGATTTACACTCAACCAAACAAACGACTGGTGAATCGATTATATTGACATAAAATCCAAGTGACGATGGTGGCAACAGCATCAGTAGCAGCAGTGACATTAGAATAATACACGAACTAGCGCTATTACACCGTTTAGGCTAATACTCGAAAGAGACTACATATATACATTTCACACGCCACAATATTCACGGTGGCAGTAACGAGCCTTCATTTTCCTCTTATACCCGCAGCGCTCTGCGGCGACACGTTTCTTGAAGGCCGCTCAACGAGCACCCATTCGCCGTCCTCTACCGTCGACTCCTTCGATGTCCGACTCGAGCCTCTGCCGAGATTTGTAGGAGTCTCATTGGGGATTAGTGCGTCGAATAACTCATCGATTTTATCTCCTAACAGGATGACAGCCAGTGTGAGAATATATGCACATGGTCTACTGTTGGGAAAATGAAAAATCCGAGGAAACTTAGGGAAATTATTGTTGGTTTTGCATAATTCTACCCCCAGCGAGCGCGTTTTTTCATAGTGTAGAGGGGAAACCAAACACATGTGCCAACACTGGCGACAAAAGTCGTCACTAAATTCCCACTAAGCTACAATTCGCAATGGAGCTCATCCCGCAAGACGCTGCTGTTACTCACCAACAAAACATCCAGCCTTGAATAGCTGTGATGCCGCGAATCCCAAAGCCGTCTGGAGCCCCGCTTGATCCTGCTGTGAAGGTGACACCAACCTTGGCGAGGAGCTTCTCGTTGCTGAGCTGCTCGCTGGGCTGCTGCTGACTGTGTTAACCGAATCTTTGTCGAGACAGTAGGGAGAGCCTAGCACGCTGCTGGGCTGACCCCGATCTACTGTCGATACCATCAAGGGAACAACAACGAAATGTGGCACACAGCAAAGGAGGGGAAGGAGCTGAAGCAACAATGTAATACGGAAAACCGCGCAGGTTCGATCCCGGCACCCTGCATTTCTGACCATCGCCTATCAGCCAACATGGTCGAACACGACACTTGATCGTGAGGTTAATAGCAAAGGTATCGATTATCAGGAAACTGCTGTTGTCATACCTCCATAACAGTGAGCGTCACTACACCATCCCTAGCATAGTATACTAGAGATGCTCATCCGTAATACTACGATGATCGCGATCACGTCAACACTTCACAACTGTTTCTTGTTCATGGCATATATCTGGTTCCAGCTCCGAGCTGAAACAACAATCTAAAGCGACCAGAAAGAGCCGTTCTCACCAATGCTGTCAGCCTCTGCCCTGTTATGTTTAAAATGCTCGGCGACACCAGTATCGAGCGGATCATCAGGCTGATAACGGTGAGTGATGATAAGCAGAGAACTGTGATACTACCTCAGGGGCGGATAGCAACGCTTGAATGGAGAGTAGGACGGTCCTCATTTGAAGTGCCGGGGACCATTTATCCTTGAGAATATCCAAACAAATACGACCCAACTTGTCGATATTGGGATGATATATCTTCGTTAGGAAACGGACC